CTAATTTGGCTTCTATAAAATTTTTAGACTATACAAGGTAACTCTTTTCTTCCAACAGGTTCGAGACCTCGAAAATCAGTTGGGGGAGGAAAGAAAAATCAGAATAAAACAAGAAACAAGAGCTTTGGCAGCTGCTTCTCAGTCTACGAAACAAGTAGTAGAGAAGAGCAAAACAGACAAAAAGCCACCTCTGGGTCCTTCAAAATTCAGGATGCCATTGCGAAGAATCACCAATTTCATGCCTCCGCCATCTCCCCTACAGAAACAGAAAACCACCCTTGCTAACTCTGCTGTATCTTCAATGCATGACAAAGAAAACAATTCAAGAACCACAACGTCAGGGACAAATGCAAAAGGCCTTATGAAACCCAGGCGAATGTCCATTGCAATCAGACCTCCTCCTCCAATGTCAACACAGGTTTTTCAGCCAAAGAGACGTGTATCCATTGCTACCTTCCGTCCAGAGTCAACCTCAAACATAAGCACGCCTCTTCAAACCTCTCGATATAAGAACGGGAATGTAGTTGGCAGGCAATCATTTGTCAGGGACCCAAAAAAGCCAAGGTATTCAAAGCTGTTTTCTCCATTGCCAGAGTTCAGGACTGCATCAGAGATTACACCTATGAGAAACAGTAGTAGATTCATGGGCAGTCCTCCAACACAGGCAGGTTCATGGAAGCCGAAGCACCCAACAGTAGTTGCACTGCAACGAAAATCTTTGGTGTGGAGTCCGCTCAAGTTGAGGAGCATGCAAAATGCCCGGAGACCATCTTTGTTGCCTTCTCGGCCATCAAATAATGAGGTGCAATGAACCTTTAGTAGTAGGACTATGCTTTTTGTCTTAATCGCCATGCTCCATCTTTTCCTATATAGATTTTATCTTCTCCTCTGGGTTTTTCTCGCAATTGTATGCTTCTTGCTTACTTTATAACTCAATGTTCAGTGACTTTTTTCTCCATCTTTCCCACATCAGAGATTGTCGTTTTTACAAGGATATGGAGAATACTTCATCAGATGAAATATGCATAGTGCTTGCACGTTGTTGTGAGCGAGTTTATAAGGTTTGTTTGAATTTTAATTAATTTTAAAAACTATAAAATCCTTGTTATTTAGACCCTTTCTTCTTCTTCTTCTTAATATTAATTTACAGTCAATGGGCCGTGCTGCGGGTAGATAAAGTTATTTTCAACACAAAAAAAAATATACACAAGTATTTATTTGTGTTTTTTACACTAGTAACAAATTATAATCACAAATAATAAAATTAAATAAATCAAGAATTATTTATAATAATAAATACAAAAAAATTGTTAACTAAAACTTAAATTAAAAAACTAAGAAATAGATTTTTATCAAAATATATGCATAATAGATTTAGTTGTAGATCTTGAAACATAAATAATAAACCTGATTGTGCTTATCAAGATATCCGATGTCCTAACATACACCATATAGACTCAGTAGTAGATTTCAAAACATGGAGAATAAGCCTAAATGTATTTAATAATTTTATTTTTATAATCAATATTTATAATTAAATCTCATAATGAATAAAAAAAATCAGGTGAGATTATTTTTTCAAACAAAAAATGTTCAGTCGTCTTTATATGTTTCTTAAGAGAAAAAAATAATTATAAATTCAAAATATCACACAGATTCAATGATATTTTTATAAAATAATTTTTAGAGAAAAGTTACATTGAATAAATGATAAAATAGTATATATATATATATATATATATTCCAATTAATGTTTCATAAAAAAACATTCAATTAATGTCTGGTAAAATTTTTCATTATGAAATAATAAACATGTTTATTTCATTATTTGTTTTCTAATTTTTTTAAAAAAAACTTGTTATTTTCTCTCTATAATCTTTCTCCAACTAGTTTTATTTCATCAGTTTAATATATATTCACACTTATTAAACCCAGTTTGGTTTGGGTATAAAAATAAGCTAACTTAATGCTGATTTGACCTAGCTGAAAAGTTAATTTGTGATCAATTAGTTTAAGTAAAATTTAATTATTTTTATTATTTTTTAAATTAAAATAATATTATTTTAAATTTTTAAAAATTAAAATAATATCATTTTAATTTACATATATTAACATATTCAATCATTTTAATTTACTTGAATTAACTAACCTAACTCATAGCGATATCATGTGTCAAGCCGGGTTTAAATCCATGTTGCAAAGTGTAGGTTTGCATAAAGAAAAGGGATAATCGAGGATGGCATAAAAAAAACCAAGAGTGTAACGCAGCAAATATCCCATTACCCCTAGATTGCTGTAGTTTTGGCGAAGATCTCCGGCTGGAACAATTTATTTACTCAATAAATAAATAAGAGTAGAAGACTCCAGTTCCAATTAATGTTCCATAAAAAAACATTTCAATAAATAAATAAGAGTAGAAGACTCCACCCAGATTAAAAAAAAAAAATCAGACAATTACATGTAAAATTAAATTATTATGAAGGCCAAGGAGTAGTAACTGCTCATCATTCTATTCTTCTTCTTAATTTTTTTCCCATCATTGCTAAGCCTTTTTAATCAAATACACTAGCATACATGAATGAAAAGACTCGATTGAAAATTTTATGAGACTTCAAGGATCCAATTGATATTAGAAACAAATATTCCAGATTGGCTTTGCATTTCAAATGGGTGTTGGGAAAATTTTGAAATTTTTTTAAAAAATAAACAAATATTATTTTAATGTATTTCTAAACAAAACATATTTTAAAAAGAAATCATTATCATATATCCATAATTTCTACATATATATAGTTATTGGTGAAGGGTAAATAGAGATAGCATGACTAATTTCATGAGTGAAGCAATAGAAATTTTTTGAACACATCTTATGTATGAGTCACATAGATTACGGTGGGAAAAGACATTGAAGCACAACTACCATTAACCTTCATCATATATGTGGGATCAAATTCATACATTTAACAGTCAAAGTGGTTCTCCTTGGACAAGTTTAAGATTAAAAACATGGAAAATCCTCAACCTAACCAAATTCAACACCATAAACTTGGCGGGGAACTAAGATTTTTGTTCACAAGAACATTGGATAGTGACGATGTTCTGGGTTTAACTCTAATTGGAGATTCAAAAAACTACTTACAAGGTCTACCAAAGCCATTGCTAGATGAAATAACCAGAAGAGGGCTAGGGCTTGACATAGAAGTTTGCACACCACATATGACACATTGGTTGACAATTCACCATGAAAGGGCAAGCAAAAGCTTCAAATTGAAGAAAACAAATAATTGGGTTGATCTTCTTACCAGAAGTGGGATTAAAATTGGTGAAAAAATTGCTTGTTGGGCATCATACAACGCTGAACAAGATCCAAATGGTATCTTAAAGTTGCTGATTGAAAAGGTAAGTGGTATTTTTTTATAATCAAATTAATTTTGAAAATTACACCCATCCATTTTAAGATATTGAGAATGCAATCAAAGTTTTTTTTTTTTTAAATAACTAAATTGTGGATTTTGTTTTTGAAATAGGTCTCCACTTAAAAGGATGGTGGTGCCTATTTAATGGGGAAGGGTTAGGGTGGTGAGAGTGGAGGGGATGGGGCTAGTCACGGTGCTAGTAATTTTCCTTAACATATTCGAATAAATGCTGCTTTGCTGAAAGTTACTTTCTGGTAAATAAAAAGCCTTTAGGCTACAATAAAGAGTTTTTTTTTTCTCCCAATAAAAGGCCCAACTTAATTACTTTTGTGGTGCAAATTTTATTTATTTATTAACTTTCTAAATTCATTATTTGGACATAGAAATGGCTATACTAACTAAAATTTGCTTAAATATATTTACAGTTCAATTTTTCACTTTTATTTGATAATCCTTTCAAATATACTTTAAAATCATAGTTATTAAATATAATTTGACTCAACTAATTTATCTAATAAATTTATTAATTCAGATCGAATTAATTTCAATTTAAATTATTGTTTATGTTGATTTAGGTAACCATGATCCATGATTAATTTTTATTGAATTATAAAAAACCAAATTACACTTAGAGTCAAGTTTAGATGTTTAAATGACAAATTTGAAACAACTATAATGGTGGTTTTGTGTAATTATAAACGATATGTCGTTAGAGAACGCAAATTAAATTCCACTCTTTTGTTCTCCTCCTCCTTCTTTTTTTTTTTGATAAATAGACATGGTTGTATTTAATAATTTTATTTTTTATAATCAATTTTTTTTATTGAATATGATAATGAATAAAAAGACTAATAAAAAGTGAATGAGATTTTTTTAAAAACACATAAATATTCAGTCATTATTAATATGTTTTTTAAACACATTGGATAATATTGTTATAAAAATAATTATTTATGTTTTATATAAATGAACTTTGTTTCTTAAAAATAAAAGATATTTATTTTTAGATGTTACTTTTAATATGTATAACCTTGCATAACATTTATTTTATTCAATTGATTTAATATATATCTATTTCTATTAATCATAACATTTATTTTATTCAGTTGATTTAATATATATCTATTTCTATTAATGTTGAATTAAATAAGAATTTGATTTTGATAATAAAATTATTAAACACAACCGAGTTAAAGATCAGTCTTATATACAATCATAATTTTTATTTATTTATTAACATATATAATTTTTAATTTATTTAACTAGTACATGCATAAATTTCTCAATTCATATTTATATAAAAAATTAAATTACAATTTTTTTATTATTGAAACAAAAAACACCCGATTCACAGCAGAACACGATCGAAATAGCTAATAACAAATGAAAGGAAAACATTGTCATTATGGATATTAACAGTGCTTCTTCTTCCTCCTTTTTCATAGTGAAAAATCTGTGCTGCTAGTAAAGTAACTGGTTGTGAATAGAATTCACATGGTTAGGTTACGGGGAAGCAAACATTTCATGCATGTATCATGCATTATGCTAGGCCAACTCTTTCACGCATAATTCCTCTTAAGATTCATTAATTACCATGGCCGTAAAATTAAATTTATCGATGAAAGGACAAGAGACATAAACAACCAAGAACATGGAACTGCGACCACTTCCAGTTGACGAGGAACTAAAACATTTATTCACAGAAACTCTGGTTCCAGATGATATGGTGGACTTAACTCTTGTTGGAGATTCGTATGCTTACTTAGCTAGCCTGCCAAGACCAGTCTGCGATGAAACGGCTACAAAAGGACTGCAAATCAAGATGCATCCTCCTAGTCAAAGACTGGTGACAGTCTACTATGAAAGTAAAGACAAGAGCTTCAGATTACTGAGAAATGATTGGGCTGCCATTGCCAAGGAGAGTGGTTTTGAAGCTGGTGACAAGATTGCTTGTTGGGCATGCAGCCATGGCCTTGGTGGTGACTTCAGTTTACTAATCGAGAAGGTAAAAACACGTAATTCTTGCAATCAAGTTGGTTTTATGGCCCCTTTCATCAATTTTGCAGCAACCACACTGTTTTTTTTTAAATAGCATCTACTTATTAACAATGTGCATGGCTTTTGTCTGAAAACAGGTTACTAGTGACATTGAATGTGGATGATGATCGGGGCTGAAGACGACAGCGAGTCGTGAGTTGTTGATGATATTCTACGAAAAATAAATGCTAGGAGTTTAATGTTAACTTGTAATAAAGATATGGGTTATTACTATGCTGTAGGTTTCTTTCTTTGTTTGAGACATAAAACGCCCAGAGGGTAAAAGCTATTACTAGCTATCGGAATTGTTCTAGCTATCCTTGCATACGTGGCATAATTTATTTTTTATTTTTTAATTATTGATATTAATATATTAAAATTATAAAAAATATTTAAAAATTATTAATTTAATGTACTTTCAAGTAAAAAATAATTTCAAATATATTTTTAAAAATAGAGACTACCGCAGTATCAAATGAATGAATATATTATCTAACCTTAACCTTGACGAGGAACCTCTAGCATTGTACAAACTGAGGGACCATCTCTCCAAAAAAATAACTTTGAGGCCCATTATTTCTAAATTAGGGATCTAAATAAAAATAATAATAAATTGAGGGACCATTCCCACAAAAACCAAAAAAAAAAATTCAAATCCAATGTATAATAATCCCTTCAAATCCCATCCAATAAGGCCCAAGATCTCACCGTACAATTCCCCTATTTGTCATGTGGACGGTGATTAACAACAAAAGGAACCAGTATATAAAATTAAAAAATTATAGACAAAAACATCTGATTGGCCAGCCCTCCTTTATATTCAAGTTTCGCGGCAATATCTCTCCTTCTCTCTCCAAGAGCGCCTCTCTTTCGTAACTTTAAAATTCTCTTTTATCGCTCTCTAAGAAATCCCTCTCTAAAACACATAAAGTTTGTACCTTTCTCTCTCTACAACCCTTTCTTCCTTCACATGGTTCAGACCCAGATAGCAATTGCCCAGAATCTGTAAGTTTATACTCTTGGATCTGTGAATTAGGGTTTATCCGGGGGGGATTTTGAGGGGTTTTATTAGGAAATTCTTTTTTTCGGTTTCAATTTTTTATTTAACTTTTTCGTGTTCTTGTTATTTCTAAGAGTGTTTTGGAAACGGTTTTTGGATTTTAGTGGAATTTGAAAATTTGAGGGTTTTGTAGTGTATTTTATTTGAATTTTGTTTTTTTATAATTTTGGTGGGTTTTGATTTATTTTTCTTTTTCTTTTTTTTGAAAGCGTTTCTTAATCTCTTTTTTTGAAACCCGAAATTGGGGGTTTCTGGAATTTTTATTGAAATTATTTTTTTGAAGTGTTTCTTTAATGGCTTTCTATTTTTGCAGTGATTCTTTTGGTTTTATTTTACTAAATTTGATTTTTTTTTCATACATATAATTTTTTTCTTTTGATTTTTTTAAAAATGATGTGATTTTGACAATTATACACTTTACTTAAAAGTTGAATTTTTGTGGTGGGTTTTTTGGTTTATTGCCAGACCGAGGTTTTAAATGTAATTTGGGTGGGAAAATATTTTATACAATTAGTGCAGCTTAGTAAACTCCAACTTGAGTCTACGTATCCCAAAAATAGAAAGAAAAAGGAAATAATTTTAATATCTGGATTGTCTGTTGTGTGTCAAATTATGGGAGAAAAGATCTTCTTGCTATGTTAAGGGTTTTGTATTTTTATTATTAATATATTGGATGGTGTGAATTTTGATGGTTATTGATTTCCACGTCAAAACTTTAAGCAAATTGGTTTGCTAATCTGTTCACTTGATTTGTTGCAGATAGATAGATCCTTCATGGCCCCAACAAGGAAGAAAAGTGTGAATAAGCGGTTTATGACTGAGGTATCGCCTGAAAAAGAAGTCAAGAGTTCAAGCAAAAATAAACAGCAGGCGAATGGGGTGAGAATTGGCTTTGTTTGTTCGTGTACTTACACCATTTTGTTAACGATGTGATTGACTCTTTATGCTTCAGTTGTTGGCTGAGTTATATTGTTCGTGGAATTATGTTAAGACTTAATTTCCTTATTGTCATAGCTTTGTGGTACATTGATCATGATTTAGCTATAATAGTGAAATTGAAACAGTTCTCTATATTTTTCTTAAGCAAAGGCTGACAGAGTTTTCCTTTCTTTGTTTAGCAAATGTGTAATGTATCTTTTGTTTTTGCTCTTTACTTCTTCAGAAGTTATATTATGATATATAATTATATTAGCATTGACTATTGTGCTGTCGCCCAGAAGAAGAAATTGTCTGATAAGTTAGGAACTCAATGGAGTGAAGCAGAACTTCAACGATTTTACAAAGCATATCGGGACCATGGAAATAACTGGAAGAAAGTATGCCTTATGTGTTATTGCGATTCCTTTCCATCATTCTACATTCTTGGGTTCTATTCAGTGCTATAATGTTCCATGAAATGTAATTTCTGTAAATTAAGTGCATCATACACTGAAAAACAATCATCTGAATTTTTGATTTTTTTTTTGTTGATGATTAGGTTGCTGCTGAAGTGCGCAACAGATCTGTGGAAATGGTGGAGACACTTTACAGTATGAATCGGGTACTTGTGTTCGGCTAGCTTAACCAGTCACTAGGCTCACTGCTTACACATCCTAGTTGTTGTTGCTGCCTTTACAGTATTATCACACAGTGATAATGTTTGATGCGGTTTTAATGGAATCCGGATCTGCTGAACCTTTGTTATCCAGTGGCCTCAACTGAATACGTTTTATATCTAATTGGTTTATGGTGTTGAACATTTTTACTTGATTGATGAATTAAAATTTGGTGGGCTTATAATATGTTTAAGAACCTTAACTCTTGAAATTTTATGTATCCAAAGTAGAACACAAAGTCAGTTGCTTCTATAACTTTGGATTTGATTTGCCTAGAAGAATTGTCTCTTTGTCAGTCTTAGTGTCCTTGGTTAACAACTTCACCCTTCCACGTTCCATATTTTTTTCAGGCATACTTGTCTCTTCCAGAGGGAACGGCTTCTGTAGTTGGGCTTATAGCTATGATGACCGATCACTACAGTGTCCTGGTATGCTGCATGAAACATCTGGAAGTTCAACTGAATTTCTAGTTTTCTTTTTTTTTTCCCCTGGGGATGGGGAGATCAGGGAAGTGCAAAATTATAATTTAATCATCCAGACACTCTTAGATTTATGGCAGCCATGATGTTTATAGCAGACATGGTGAGGAATACTTTTAGAGTGACAGCATTTGACTGAAAAAGAGATAGATAATTTAATGCATTATGGGCGTTTACAGTAAGAATTGATCACAAATTTGGTTAATATCATTATTAAGTTAAATAGTTAGCTGCTTGATAAACTATACGTGGCATTTTGATTTACCTAGTAAAATTGTTGTAAATCCTGATTTTGTTTTATTGTCTGCTGACAAAGCAAATGCTAATTGCATGGATCTGGATGGTGAACTTGCAGGAAGCAAGTGAGAGTGAACAAGAAAGCAATGAGGTTCCTGGAGTGCTTAGGAAACTTAGGAAACGTAAGCGGCCAAAAGTGCAGCTTAGTGCATCAAAAGAAGATCTCCAGCAGTCTCACATGGTTGCATCAACTGATGGATGCTTATCATTTTTAAAAATAGCATATGGTAAAATACTTTGCTTATGAAAAACATTATTTTTCTATGTTTCCAATTTTTCCTCTCACCTCACTTTGTTATGATATTTGGAGCACCTTTTCCTTTATTACGACTCCAACATCTATGCATTAGATGGCTCATGCATTCTACCTGTCTCTTTTCACATCCATATTTTTTGCTGTACAAACATTCCCTTGTTTTTCAGAATTTTTTTTTCTAAACGAAACTTTTGATGAATCCAATCCATTCACTGTTTTTACCCTTATTCTTTCAAAGATTTTACTGCATAAACTGTGACCTTAAATGGTTATATGCTAGCGACATCTAAATGGTTTAGCAGGATACTATGGTGGGGAGGCAATTTCCAGATCCTTTCTTTCTTTATTAATATAAATGGATAGAAAGCCACGATTATGAAATATCAGTATGGTACAAACTTTGGCGCAAAGCAAACAGAGTAGTTCGCTTACTTGTTTTTAGATTTTTTAGCAGCGGAATGAAATGTCGCATTCTGGAGACAATGTTATCTAGGACATTGAAGAGAAGCACAGAGAATGAATCATGCTTTGATCCACAGAGCTATAATTTCCTCCAGTTGTCATCTACATGGAGCAAGTTTCATCCATATCCTATTATTGAAATTGATACTGAATCCTGTGGTTATAATGTCCACAACTCCAAATAGAATTGTATAGGGATTGGATAGAATAGGATCTAATTTGACTCTTACAATGAAATTACAACAGAAAAAACTTTAATTTGTATAACTTGGAAGTTTTTTTCATGAGATTTTCTTTAATTAAGCTTTGGTACAGAAATTGATTTGATAGGGATCATGCATCTCAATTTTTTATCTGCAGTGCTCCTTTCCTTTATCCTTCTAATTTTACTCATAAATATTTGAACTCAACAGAATAGCAAATGTGTGATATAACTCTTTCTAACTACAGTTATGACCATTTGAAGTGTGGGTTTTATTTTCTGACGTATTCAAATTCATATTTAGGCCGTCCACTTCATTCAGTTGGGAAAAGGACACCTCGCTTCCCTGTCTCTCATCAGCACAAGAAAGATGAAAATTATGTTTCACCAAAGAAGAAGCACAGAAAGTCAGAGATCAATGCTGATGATAATGATGATGAACATGTTGCTGCACTGACATTAACTGAGACATTGCAGAGAGGAGACTCTGCCCAAGTGCCTCAAACACCCCATAGAAGAACAGAACATATGAAATCATCACCTGTTCAAAGCTGGGATAAGATGGTATTTTACTGGAGACCAGTTTTCCATTGTTACTGTTACTTTTGTTATGCAATATTACAACTTTCTTTCTACTCAATTGGTTTCTTCAGCCAGAATCATCTCCAGAAAATCTTTGTGATGCTTCCATATATGAACACTGGTCTGAAAGTGGCACAGGACGTGGGGGGGATGATCTTGCCTATGTGAGGGATGCAATATCCTTGGCAGAAATGGAAGGTATAGGTACTGTAGAAGTTCACCGAAAAGGCAAGAAGTTTTATGGAAAGAAGGTAAGAGTTGAGAAGATCAGAAATAGTCAGTCTGGTGGTGGTGGAGAAGCATGTAGTGGCACTGAAGAAGATCAAAAGGTCAGAACTTTGAAGGGAAAAGTTGAAATTGAGATGTCTAATGCAAAAATTGATGAGCCTTCTTGCCGGGGCCAAAGGAAGAGAAGCAAGAAACTTTTCTCAGATGGTAATTTTGTTCTTTCATACTTGATCCTGAGTGTTACACATAGATCTTCAAATCATCTTTCCTTTTCATGGGTGAGGAGAGTTATGTGAAGTGCATGTTTTCATCATTAGATCACCATTTGTTTACTGAAAAGACTATTACACTTTTGTTTTTTTCTTAAGTTGTGAAGTTGGAAATATTTTGCCCTTATATTGGAGCAAACTTTGTTCCATATCTCCTGAGAATTGTATATCTTGCAATGGCTCCTGTATTTTTTTTCCCCTCTCTGCTGACATTTGTGGATGTGAAGCTATCTAGTTAGGAGTTTTATTAGAATATAGGGTTCAATACCGGAAGTCTACCCTAAGATGATGCGAGCATATGGCTCTTGCATTCAATTCTCAGATGACAAATTAATACACAAAGAGGATGATGCTTATAGTGGAGACTATGGAGTTTCTTTCTAAAAAAGAACAAATAATAAAAACTGTCTTGTGGGAAATTCAGGAAAGTTGTTTCCTGTAACATGGTTCTATTTATAGTAAATGCTTGGACCATGTCTTGAGTATTTGGAGTCTATTGGAGGTTTGTCATGCAGGAGTTTTAGACAGACTTCTATCGGGTTTGGGTTTGGGTTTCTAATTTCCTATTATTTGGATTTCTTCTTTGAAGAAGCAACCTTTTGAAAGGTGTGACCAGATCTGATTGCCAACTTGTTTATATTCTGAACATCGAGAACCTGGATAACCTTTTTTATTGTTGACCCAGAGTACCCAAGATATTGGGGAGGGTTCCTGGTTATGTGAACTGATCTCCTATCACCAGATGGGTGTGATGTAAACTGCTGTCTTAGGATGTACTGTTTTCCCTCCCCTCCTTTTCATATCATATCATTTGGCATGGTTGAATGATCAAGCCAAGTATATAATACCAACTAGCTTAGCCGGTAAACCTCTAGGAGTTCTACCAGAGACTTAGGATCGACACCAGCTTCACCAATGCATGGGGTTATGTATGGGATGGTGAAGTATTGTGATTTTGATTGGGAAGCCTACTGTTGGAAAAAGGAGAAGAGAGAAATACATGTTACCATTTTTAACTTGTGAATTAACTTGCTTCTCCTATCTGTAATCCTGTTTGGTTATTAGAATGTTTATGACGTGTCAGTGTTGCTTAACTTATCCCATTGCTGACTTTGTAAATTATATTTCTTTTTTTATTTGCAGATAAACATGATGACTTCATCGGCCTTCAAACATTGGCTCTTGTTTCTGCAATGGAATTTGGTAAATATTAAATGCATGTCTAGTTTTATACATGCTTGCATGAAATGACATAAATATATTGAAGGGCAACGAGTAATTAATTTATTAACATTGCATGGCTTGTCAAACAATTGTGTGCTGAATGACAGAACAATATTGATTTGCTAGGAGTGATAATTTCAATAACACTTTAGTGCTGAAATCATTCCTGGAAGACTTTTATGCTGAATTCCTAATGTTGGAAATTCTTAAATTTCAGCTTAAACAGCGCAGCACTATTTTTATTCCATCAGAATACCATTTTCCCTTCATGGAAAATGTAGTCAATAGCTTATTTACCTTCTTTCTTCTTTTACTTCCTATTTCTTTTGAAGAATGCCCCCCCCCCCCCCAACACACACACGCTTGCGAGTAAAAGGGATGAGGAGGGTGAGTAAGAGAAGATAAAAAAACAGATTTTGTTATCAAGCGAACTCTGATGTATGCTTCATGTAGCTGGTATTTTTCTGTTACATATTTGGTAAATATCAACAACTGCTCTGTTGATTTTTCTTTTCTTTCTAAATGATTATAAGCAGATATGGGCAAACGGATTATTTTCTCTTATTCATGTAAGAGGGATAAAATCTATTTTGACATGCTTTATGCTTGGGTCTATTCCTGCATGTGGGTCTTGGTTTGTTGGTAGCTGTGGTGCTATTCCTTTTCAAATGTGCTCAAAATGTAAGTCCTTTTTTTCTCTTTGAATGTTTGTTTTAGAATCATCTGCCCAGTTGGATGAAGAAAGAACTGCCCAAACTGAGGACGACAAGTGCAGTGTACCTGAATCTGCACCAACTAGTCATCATAGAGAAAGAACTAAACTCTCCAGGCAGAAAGAAAAGGCAACAAGTGGAGTTGATGGTATAAACTCAAGAAAATATAAGCTTGGAAGATACCCGCTAATTTCTACTAAACCTGTCTCTGAAGCAAATAAACAGCCTCAGTCCATCAGCAATGGTACTCTGAAAAGAAAACGCGAGGCTTTGGTATCAAAGGTACACACATTTTTTCATTTGTCTTTTTCGTTCATTCATTAATACCTCATGGCATGCCATTTGATTAAATGGTTGATTTCCATTGGATACACAATTGTTATTGATTGCTGCAATTTTGATACACTTAGTAGCTTGCCTGAGACGAGACTTATGGTACACTTTGAATATGGAATTTAAGTTTTGGTTTTTTCCTCTATGTAAATGCTAATACATGTGAATCCTTCAAGGCATAAGTATGTTTGAAATTTGTTAGGTACTGCTACCACATTTTATTCTTTCTCTTTCTTTTACTCTTTGGTCATAATTGGTGTTTGTCTCCATTCCATATGAACCTGGTACAGGTTCTGGATGACGAGGAGATTACACCTGTGGTTAAAGGCAGACACAGTGGTCAAATTTCTTCTCCTTCAAAACAATTAAATTCATTAGAATTGCCAGAGGGTCCTTCTTTCAGTGGTGATCAGAAAAATGTGCCAAATGATCTAGCAACCGCACAAGTTCCTGTTGCAAGCCAAGTTATCTTACCAACCAGAAAAGGAAGCAGACGCAAGATGGATTTAAAGAGAGCAACGATCCCAAAAGTGGGGAAATCTTCTGTAAACATCCAGAAAAATCAAATTAATAGGCAAGATGGAGCAATCCACCTAAAGGTGAAATACTCCATGTGTATTTCTTTTTATCCTAGTTTTCAGATTCTTAGGGGCTCATTTACAAATGTTCTTGTTGTTTTCTGGAATTACAGGACAAGCTTTCTTGTATATTATCATCTCCTATGGTTCGCAGATGGTGTACATTTGAATGGTTTTACAGTGCAGTTGAC